CGTGCTCGCCCCGCTCCACCCGCAGCCTCGGCCACGCCTCCAAAATGAGTCTCACCCCACAATCTCCCATTCCTGCCCCTCAGATTTGGCTTGGTCCCCACCAGGGTTGCCTCACTGGGCCCCGCCCCTTCCTCGGGTTTCTCCAGAGCTCGCCCACCACGCTCACCTGGGGTGCAGACAGTTTCGCAGACCAGAGGGCAGAGGTAGCAGAACTGGCAGTGCTGGGGTGGGGGTGGGGAGAGAGAGTGAATGGCAGGTCGTGGTCAAAGGCAGAGTCGGGATGGGGGTGCGGGCAGGAGGCTAGCTAGGTGGAGGTTAAGGTCGGAGACAGGATCTTGGGTGGAGTCAAAGCTGCATCAGGGTAAGGGGTTTGGTCAGTTTGAGGGCAGAGGCCAGGATTGAGGGCTGGGAGTGCTCAGATAGTCCTGGGCCATCCTGTGGCTCACCTGACACTGGTCACAGTGTTCTCCCATGTTCTCCTCATCACAGTGACAGTTCTCACATTCAGTGCATCTCTGGGGACCAGAGGAGCCTGGTTAGATTGAAACCTTAACCCCTTTTGGGAGCCACCTGCCAGTCTTCCACCCTTCCCCCACCTCCTTATCCTCATTACCTCCAACACCGACTCAGTTTCTTCCCCCAAAGCCACTTCTCCCTGCTTGGTTTTCAATGGCAGGGGGACTCCACATTCCCCCATCACTGTGTGTGGGACCTGAGGATGCTCTCTTCATCCCCTTTTCTCTTTCCCCACAGCCTGTCATTCTCCAGTCCCAGGGTCATCTGCCTCCCTCCCCCTGACTCTTTGTCAAGCACCTTCCTCTCTGCCCACATCCGCAGGTGCAGCTCAGGCCTCATCCTCCCCTTCCTGGACCATTGCCCCAGTCTCCTCCATAGTCTCCTGGCCTCCAGTCTGTCCCCGACATGGCCCCAGATGTGTCTTTCTTCACCTGGAACTTCCCCTGCCCTTCCTTTGCTCAGAGCCCTTCCAAGGCACCCCAGGGCCCTGGGACCAATTCCAGGGACCGCTTGGTGGATGGGCCTGTGCTGGGGACATACATTGCAGAAGGAGCAGTAGCCACACAGGGACCCTGGCAGGTAGTTCCCGTACTCTTGGGCATCCTGCGGACCTGTGGGGACAGGAGGGCAGCAGTGACCCAGGCTGACTGGGCTCCTCCCCGCTCCCACCAGGCCAGATCACTTACCAGTGTCTTCACCACTCTCCTCCTCACTGGAGCCACCTCCAGCCACCTCCCTCCTGGCCAGTGGGTTGGGGATGATGGTGAACTGGAGCTGGTCTTCCTTCAACCCCTCCTCCTCCTCGCCCTCCTTCTCCTGGCTGCCTTGGCTCAGTGGGGCCCGAACTTCAGTCCTCTCTTCTCTCCTCTCATCCTCTTCCTCTTCCTCCTCTTCTTCCTTATCCTCCTGGCTCAGGTGGAGGCCGTGACCTTCCTCCTCATCTTCCTCATCTCCCTGGTCCAGGCTGCCACGGCGGGTGCCTTCTTCCCCCTGCTCTGAACCTTCATCTTCCTCATGGGAGCCACGGTCTTCTTCCTTCTCCTCTTCCTCTTCCTCCTCAGAATATTTTTCCCCCAAATGGCTTCTGTCCTCGACCCTTGTGTGTTCTGGGGGCTGGTGACTAATTTCTTTGATGGACCCTCTCTGGCCAGTCCCTTCATCTCTGTGGCCTTGTTGTCCATGGCTGGGAGTGTGGTGGCCAAGCGTGGCAGAGCTGTCCTCATCTTTCTCCTTGGGGACTCCATGATGGTGATGGCCGGGGACTTCTGTTTTGTACTCATCTGGGAAGTACTCCTCTTCAGTGCTCTCGTGGCCTCGCGCTTGGTGACTTGTAACGGGGTGGCTGAACTGGACTGCGATCTCCTCCCCCTCATCTCCAGGGCTGTGGTGAGAAGGTCTGGGAACCTGGTGCCAGTGTTCAGTGGACACACCCTCGTCCTCATCTTCCTTGTCTCCCCGGCCTCGGTGTCCATAGCTGGGGAGGTGATGGTGATGTTCACCCGAGACATCGTCCTCTTCCTTCCCGTGGCCTTGGTGCCTGTGGGCCAGGGGTCCATACTCAGTGGAGACATCATAGTCATTGTCATCTTCTTCTGCTTTGCGGCCTTGGTGTCCATGGCCAGGGACCTGATAGTGATGTTCATCGGAGTCATCATCTTCTTCCTTGCCATGGTCTGAGTGTCGGTACACCTGGCGTCTGTATTCAGTGGGGACATCATCCTCATCCTCATCTTCATCCTCATCCTCCCCATGGCCTCGGTGCCCGTGGGCCTGGTGTCTGTACTCAGTGGGGACATCATCCTCATCCTCATCTTCATTCTCATCCTCCCCGTGGCCTGGGTGCCCGTGGGCCTGGTGTCTGTACTCAGTGGGGACATCATCCTCATCCTCATCTTCATCCTCATCCTCCCTGTGGCCTTGGTGCCTGTGGGCCTGGCGTCTGTACTCAGTGGGGACATCAACATCATCCTCATCCTCACCCTCATCCTCATCCTCCCCGTGGCTTCGGTGCCCGTGGGCCTGGTGTCTGTACTCAGTGGAGACATCATCCTCATCCTCATCCTCATCCTCATCGTCATCATCATCCTCATCCTCATCGTCATCCTCATCCTCATCCTCTTCCATCCCGTGGCCTCGGTGCCCATGGGGTCTGTACTCAGGAGAAACGCCCTCCTCATCTTCATCATCCTCTTGTCGGTGGCCTTGGGGTACGTGCCTGATGACACGACGTTGATACTCACCGGACACCACTTCGTCCTCACCTTCGTCCTGATGGCCGTGGCTCCTGGGGCTGGGGAAGTGGTGCCCACGCTCTGCCGAATCATCCACATCTTCATCCCCCTGGCCCCCGTGCCCATGGGCCTGCTGAGCAAGCTCCGTGACGACGTCCTCATCAGAGACATTCTCGTCTCCAACCTCGTGGCCTTGGTACCTGTGGCCTAGGAGTCGGTGGCCATATTCCCCGGAGACATCTCTGTCCTCTTCTCCGTGGTCTCCGGGGCTCCAGAACCGGTGTCCGCTGTCTGGGAAAACATCCTCGTTCTCATCTCTGTGGCCCCTGTGGCTGGGGTGGCCAAACTCACCTGACATGTCCTCTGAGGGCCTCGAGACTCCTGCATTGTTGTTCCAGTTGCTGGGGCCTGGCCCAGCCCCTCTCAGCTGCTGGGTCACAGCTGGGGGGAGGAGCAGGCTGGCCACGGCAGCCCAGAGGAGAGAAGTGTGCAGCCAGGGCCCACGGTGGCCCATGGGGACGGACAGGCAGCGGGCCTTTTCCCAGGCTGGCTCTGGATGCCACTTGCGGCTGAATGTTGGGGCTTCTTGTCTCTTTTCGGGTCTTCCTCTTTCTGTGTCTTTCCTTTGCTGTGTCTCTCTCCGTCTTTGCCTGTCTGCCTTCCTCTGGCCGTGGCTGCCGGCACTGGACACCCCTGTGAGGCAGGCTCAGGAGCCCCCTGACCCCCCTCTAGGGCCCTCCCTCCCACCTCCCAGCCAATAAGGCCTCTCCCCTCCCCTCTTTGTGGCTAAATTTACTCTCAGGCCCTGAGTTATTCTGGGTCAGTTTGCCTGCCCTTCCCCTCCCGCTCCTCCTCCTCCCAGGAGGGGTAGGTGAAGGGGTCTCTCCTTGGCCAGGAGAGGGGGTCCAAGGGACTTGACTTTGGACCACCAACAAGTTCATGTTTGGCAGCTGCAAAGGCAACAGCTAGGCTTGTAACGGGCCAAGTTGGGGGCACCAGGGTCAGCCGGGGCCAGGAGACATGTATCTGAGGGATGAGACCCCTGCCATGGGAGGACTGGGGTTAGACTATGGGGGCTTCTGGCCAGAATGGCATACTTTGCTGAGAGAGTGGATGCCATGTGGAGGCCTTAGAGGGGGGCAAAAGGAAACCTCCTCCCAAAAAATGTGCCCATGACCTCCTGTCCCTGGAACGCAGATCTGGGGGCAGGGGACTGGGCCAGGCCAGGGCTATAAATACAGCAGGGGGGCTCAGGTTACCCAGGAGGCCCCAGCTGTCTCTGTCAGAGACTTGGCAAGAGACACATGGTCCCGCCTGCGTGTGTGTCAGTATCTCCCACTCTTCATCCTGTCACTACAGTTCTTTGGGTCCCCATCCCTCTTTATGGGTCTCCCTGTCTCTCTCATGGTTTTGGTCGCCACTCTCTCAGTGTCCCTTCCCTACCTCCCCAGGACTCTCCCCCCCC